GAAAGAGTGAGCAGAGAGGTTGTGTTGGGCCAGAATGGGCTGCACTGGGGCAGGGTGGGGGGCACGGGGTGGTGGGGTGACCCTGGTCCCAGCCAGGCCCCAGGAGCTGGTTCCTCTCTCCTCTCCATCAGGATGGGGGGAGGAACCAGGAGGAACTGGAGGGAGAAACCTCACGGGTCCAAATCAAGACCCAGAGGTGAGTGAGCAGCTGCTGCCGTGGGCAGAAGGGATCAGACCAGGGGGGTTTGACTTCATGTGCTGCCAAGGGGCAGAAATACTCCATGGAATGATAAGGGAGACACCAACAAGACCAACATCCCCAGCAGCTTGCAGCCTTTCCCAGGCTCAGCCCCACACCCCCCTCCTGTGCCCAGAGGGGACCCTCAGCCTCTCCCAGGGCCCCCCGTGGGGCAGGGGGTTGGGGTGAGGACACGGGGGTTTCTCTTGGCCGCTCCTGCCTTTGCAGGCTTTTCCCAAGCTCCAACGTGGCTCCTCCCTGGGCTGCAGCCCCTTCAGGACGTGCCTGCTCATGGAGCACCTGCTCCTGCTCGGGCCTGCTGTGGTTTCAGGCTTTTGTTCCCTCTCTCTGCCCTTCCCTGCCCTTTCACAACCCTCTTTTCCCAGGGATGCCACCAACTCCTCCCGCTGGCCCAGCTTTGCTGTCTGGTGGCCCCAGGGGATTCTTGATGGAGACAGGGCTCAAGGAGGGCTCTGCAGGGGAGGAGATGGAGGATGGATCTTGCTGCTCCTGCTCCCCTCGGGTCTCCTCTGCCCAGAAGGAGCAGCTCAGCACCAGCAGCTCCACCACTGCCCTTCCCAGAAACCTGCCTGGGTTCCCAGAACAATCCTGCTCAGCAACTCGTGGCTTCACTGCAAAAGAAAACCCCACCTCTCCTTCCTCCCAGGGCCTTGATGATCTCCAAGGTCATTTCCAAGCTCAGCCATTGGTTCTGTCTTCACTTGAGTCCTCTCATCTTTGCCCCCTTGGCCTCAGGACCAATGAAATCAGGGCTGGGCTCAAAAATTAACCTTTATGGCCGTGGAGCCAAGAGCCTGTTTCCCCCTGTGCTCCAAGGAGATGTCTCCTGCCTGCAGGGCTCTCCCCCCCCAGCCCTGCTGACCCTTTCTCCTTCCACCCCTCCGTGCCTCTCTCGCCCTCCTGCAGGGGAGGAGCAGCAGCCTGAGGGGGTTTTGCCCCTGGTCCTCCCTGCTGAGCCCTCGGGGGTTCCAGCCAAGGCTCCAGACTTGGTGTTTCCTGGAGCTGAGAAGGGGAACGTTGCTCTCCAGCCAGGGCAGAGGAAGGAGCTGCAGCTCATCAGGTAGGAGAACTTGCCTTGCTCTCTTTTGTCCCACTCGGGGGTTGGTGTGGACAACTCTGTGAAGCTGTGAGGTTTTGGTTGATGGACCTGAAGTCCCTTGTGCTTGCTCTGGCTCTGGTCTAGTGGGCAAAGTGTCCTGCTTGGGGAAGCCAGCAAATGAAGCTTGCTTCTTTGGGATGGGAGCCAGATGGATGGCCCGGCTGGTCTGGAGACAGCAGGGAACAAACTGCACCAAGGAAAAGCTTCCTCATCCCATCCCTCCCTGCCCTTGTCCCAAGCCCCTCTCCAGCTTTCCTGGAGCCCCTTCAGGCACTGGAAGCTGCTCTCAGGTCTCCCTGGAGCCTTCTCTTCTCCAGGCTCAACACCCCAAGTCTCCCAGCCTGTCCCAGAGCTGCTTCAGCCCTTGGATCATCTCTGTGGCTCCTCTGGACTCTCTCCATGTCCTTCTTGTGTTGGGGGCTCCAGAACTTGAGCCAGTTCTCCAGGGGGTTCTCATTAGAGCAGAGGGGACAATCCTGCTGGCCAAGCTGCTGGAGACAACCCAGGACATGGATGGTTTCTGGTCTCAACCATGTGTTGTTGGCCCATGTTGAGCTTTCCATCCACCACCCCCCCCAAATCCTCCTCAGGGCTGTTCTCCATCCATCCTCCAGGCAACCTGTAGCTGTGCTTGGGATTGCCCTCACCCAGGTGCAGAACCTTGTTGAACTTTTGGTTGAAAAACAGAATTTTCTGGGAGTCTCCTTCACATCCTCCTCCAACCCACTATCCCAGAGCCTCCTGCACCAGCACGATGTGGTCCCACAGGATCTGACCTCTGGGTTTCTGCCTTTAACAAGATTCATTCCCTTCTTTCTCAGGAGGATAAGATGGATAAAGAACTGGTCGTGTCCAGAGGGTAGTGGTCAATGGCTCTAAGTCCAGATGGAAAACAAGTGGTGCCCCTCAGGGGTCATGATGGGCCCAGTGTTGTTTAATATCTTCATTAACCACATTAATGGTGGCATTGAGAGCAGCCTCAGCAATTTGCTGATGACACCAAGCTGGGTGCTGTGGTCCATACACCAGAGGGATGGGATGTCATCCAGAGGGACATGGACAGGATGGAGAAGTGAACCTCATGAGGTTCAACAAGGCCAAGTGCAGGGTCCTGCACCTGGGCCCAGGTAACCCAAGGTGTGAACACGGGCTGGGGGAGGTCACACTGGAGAGCAGCCCTGTGGGGAAGGACCTGGGGGTCCTAGTGGATCAAGAGCTGGAGATGAACCACCAATCTGCAGCTGCAGCCCAGAGGACCAACTCCATCCTGGGCTGGATCAAAAGAAATGTGGCCAACAGATCAAGAGAGGTGGTTCTGCCCTGGTGGGACCTCACCTAGAACACTGTGTCCAGCTCTGGTGCCCCCAGCACAGGAGAGATGTGGAGCTGTTGGGACGTGTCCAGAGAAGAAAAATGATCCAAGGGCTCTTTGATGAGGACAGGGAGTTGGGGTTCTTCAGCCTGGAGAAGAGAAAGCTCTGGGGAGACCTCATAGTGGCCTTCCAGGACCCAAAGGGGCTACAGGAAAGCTGGGGAGGGTCTTTTTGCAGAGGCTTGAAGTGGGAGGATGAGGAGTTTTAAGCTGAAAGAAGAGAGGTTTAGCTTAGAGACCAGGTGGAAATTATTCAGGGTGGGGAGACACTGGAACAGGCTGCCCAGAGATGTTGTGGGGGCTCCATCTTTGGAGGTGCTCAAGGGCAGGTGGGATGGGGCTCTGAGCAGCCTGTTCTAGTGGGAGGTGTCCCTGCCCGTGCAGAGGGGTTGGAACTCAATGATGTTTAAGGTCCTTTCCAACCCAAAAAGTTCTGTGACTCCTTTTGGGAATTCTGTTTCGTTTTCACAGACCATCACCCACTGCCAGGGGGAACAGAAGTGATTTGTCTTCACCCACAGGATGGTTGTGGAGAACTTCTGGAATAAGCACTCAAAATGGGCCCCAGTGGTTTTGATTTGCCTGCTGATTGTTATAATATGTGTTTTAATTCAAATATTATTTCCAGGTAAGAAACTCTCTCCTGGGATCCAGCTTGGCTGGAGTTATGCTGGGATAACTGGGATGTCCTGGGATATCACACCTGGACCTCAGTTCATTGTCCCTTGAGAAACAAAGGCACTGGAATCATGGAATGGTTTGGAAGGGACATGTGAGGTCCTCTAGTCCCAACCCCCTGCATGGGCAGGGACACCCAGGTTTCTCCAACCCCCATCCAACCTGCCCTTGGACTCTTCCAGGGATGGAGCAGCCACCATGAAGATCATCTAGATCCTAGATCCTCCTAGATCATCCTCCTAGATGCCAGGGGACTTGCTCCTTGCTTGGGTTCACAGTCCTCACCCCAGAGCTCCTGTTGTCCTTCTGGATAAATTGAGGATGGTCCATGAGTACATGAAACAACTGATGGGTAATGGATCAGAACTGGAAGAAGGAGATTTAAGGTGGACATCGGGAGGAAATTCTTCCCTCTGAGGGTGGTGAGAGCCTGGCCCAGGTTGCCCAGGGAAGCTGTGGCTGCCCCATCCCTGGCAGTGTCCAAGGGCAGGTTGGATGGGGCTTGGAGCAGCCTGGGCTGGTGGGAGGTGTCCCTGCCCATGCAGGGGGTTGGATCTGGATGATCTTGAAGGTCCCTTCCAACCCAAACTATTCCATGGTATAAACCCAAGGAATCTGGGGACTGTAAAACATGTTTGTGCCTGGAGGGGTTGGTAGTGTTGACCCAAGACCTTGGTAGTGTTGACCCAAGACCTTGGTAGTGTTGACCCAAGACCTTGTCCCCACTGTTCTAAGAGACTGTGAGGTTCTACCATAGAGCTGAGCTTCCTGGTTTGGATTGACCTATGGAAATCCTCCACTCGTGGATAAAAACCAATGGATTTGTTCTTTCCCTGCAGGTAAAGGGCCTGTCAACGTTGTCATTGAACCGTCCTCTGCCCACGTGGGAGAACAGGTGACCCTGTCCTGCCAGCTGGCTGAGGATGTCCCCTCCACCACCAAGGTTCTCTGGTACAAGATGGAGAAGGGGAGGGAAGCCCCACTGTGCTCCTCCCCCAGCCTGCAGGGGGTGGTGGAGCAGGGCCAGGAGGGAGAGCAGAGGAGGGTCATGGGGCACTGGCAGAACAGAACGTTACTGCTGATCATCTGGAGGGTGACAGTGGGTGACGAGGGGACGTACGTGTGTGCAGTGAATGGCACTGCTGTCACACAGGAGGCTGCTGCTCACCTGGATGTCACAGGTAGGAGATCTCTGCCCTTGCATCCTTCCAGGGATGGGGCTTCCACAGCTTCCCCGGGGCAACCAGTTCCACCACCCTCAGAGTGAAGAATTTCCTCCTCGTGTCCAACCTAAATGTTCCTCTTCCAGTTTAAATCCATCACCCCTCATCCCATCACTCCTGCCCTCATCCAAAGGCCCTTCTCAGCTTTCCTGGAAGGTGCTGGGGTTCACCAAGCCTCTGTGGTGAATTGCTCCAGTGCTCATCAGTCCAGGCAAATGACCCCTTTGATCTGACCAACCACGGTTGTTTTTATGAGCCATGGATTTGTAGAGGAACATATTGAGGGTTTGTTTTTTTTTATTGTTTTGCTAGTTTTGTAGTTGTTTTGCAGTGACTTTAACTCTATTTCATCCTCATTCACCAGCCATTGGTCACCAGCCAACTCTGGCCAGAGATCTACAAGAGGACAGTTGGTGTCACTACACGTGTAGGTCAAAGCGATGGTACCCAAAGCCTGACATCACCTGGACCAACTATGGAGGAGACACATTAAATGTGGAGGCCAAGACCAACATCACCTGGAGTGAGAAGGACCATTTCGTGGTCCAAAGCACCATCCAAGTGCCCTGTGAGACTGTAGATGTCGTGTGTGTGGTCAAACTCATTGAATCCAAGATCAGCCTCTCAGGTAGGTCACATTTCTACATCTGCTTCTGATGGGTTGAGGGATTCAGACCTTTCCATTCTTGGACAGGTCCTGACACCTTCCTTGAAGCCCTGCAGAATCTTCCCTTCCAGGAGAAAACTTGGCTGTTGGGTGATGGAGGTTTGGGTTGGCCTGGTGGGGTCTCCAGGAGGACACCATGTCATCAGGTGTTAAGCACTCAGGATGGTGCTGAGAACCATCTTCTCCCTGCTCTGCTTCTTTGGGCCAAGTTCAGCCATGGCTTGAGGAGCTCTTGGCTTTCCCCTACTTTTAACAGTCTGAATCTGAGTATTGTCCTCTCCTTGTTGGTCTCTCCTTATTGTCCTCTCTCCTGGTTTTACCTTCTTACCTGGAGCAATGGGCTGCATCACTTCCGGTTGGGAGGAGCTTCTTGGCCACCATCTAAGACCCTGGCCCAGGGTGCCCAGGGAAGCTGTGGCTGCCCCATCCCTGGTAGTGTTGAAGGGTAGGTTGGATGGGGCTTGGAGCAGCCTGGGCTGCTGGGAGGTGTCCCTGCCCATGGTAGTGGTTGGATCTCGATGATCTTGAAGGTCCTTCCAACCCAAACCATTCCATGATGATTCTATAATAACAATCTTGTCTGGTCTCATGATCAGGGAGGTGGTTTCAAGAGAAGTTCTCCTTTTCTTCTGGCCTCCTGGTTCCCTACAAGTCTCTAATTCTTTCTAAAAGTATATTCATTTTTCCCAAGGATGATGGGATGGAATAATTAATTAGGTCAGTTTTGGTCACCTCTCTGGTCACTTCTCCCAGCAGGGTTGTAGCTGTGACCCTTTGTGTTTCTGGAGCAGAAGAAGTTAAGGAGACCCAACCAATGGCCTTGGTTCTCCACACCATTCTCCACCAGGAACTAAAAACATGGAGAATGTTCAGTCCTAGAAGAAGGCACTGACTGGAAAACATGTTCATTCCAGAACGTGCAGCTGCTTAGAAGAGATTTAACTCCAAAGTCAAATTCCCAGAAGGAAAAGTGGTTCCGTCCTGGCTCAAACCAGTTTCACACTGGAAGTTCTCAGGGCTCTCTAAATGCTTGAGGGTTTTGATTAGAGATCATGGAATCATGGGCTGGGTTGGGTTGGAGGGGACCTTTCCAGGTCATCTAGGAGGGAGATCTTCAACTAGGCCAGGTTTCTCAGAGCCCCATCCAACCTGACCTTGAATGTCTCCAGAGATGGGGCCTCCCCCACCTCTCTGGGCAACCTGGGCCAGGGTTTCACCACCCTCCTAGTGAAGAGCTTCTGGGAGATCCTTTCCAGGGATCTCCTGGGTGTTCCTGTGTCCACCAGATGTGATAGTCTTCTGTTCCTCCTGTTCCAGGTTCCTTGAATGAACTTCTTCTGCCACAGTCGAGCACTTGCACCTACAAGGGCAGAACAAGAGGTTCCTACGTAGACCCCAAAGTGATGTGGCTTAATCCCCAAGGAGAAGATCTCTCTGCACTGGCCCAGACCAGCATCCTCCTGGAGATGGGCAATATTTTTGAAATAGAAAGCTCCATCGAGATACCCTGTGGACAACTACCACCTTCTTTTGTGGCCACTGACAAGGAGAGCAGTCCACAGGTTGCTCAGCAGGCAGGTAGGTGGCAGTTGAGACTTATTTCATGTACTTTGGCATTCACAGGATCCCAGAAGGGTTCTTGTTGGAAAAGATCTTTAAGAGTCCAACCACAACCCAACTCCACCACCCACAACCCAGCTCCACCAACCACAACCCAGCTCCACCAACCACATCCCCTACTCTACCAATCATTGACCGAACTCTACCAGCCATAACCCAACTCTACCAACCACATCCCAACTCCACCAACCACAACCCAACTCCACCAACCACGTCCCCAACTCCACCAAGCACATCCCCAACTCTACCAACCATTGACCCAACTCTACCAACCACAACCCAACTCTACCAACCATTAACCCACCTCTATCAACCACAACCCAACTCCACCAACCACATCCCTTACTCTACCAACCATTGACTCAACTCTACCAACCATAACCCAAGTCTACCAGCCATAACCCAACTCTACCAAACCACATCCCCAACTCTACCAACCATTAACCCAACTCTACCAGCCATAACCCAACTCTACCAATCACAACCCAACTCCAACAACCCATAACTCAATCCTACCAACCAACTCTACCAACCATTGACCCAACTCTACCAACCACAACCCAACTCCACCAATCCTTAACTCAACTCCACCAACCTTTAACCCAATTCTGCTACATCTAGTGCTTAAACCATGTCCCTCAGCACCATCTCCACATCTCTCAGACCCCTACAGGCTGGTTTTTTTTTCCTCTCTTTCCACTCGGATGTTTAATTTTCCTCTACCAACGTTAAGGCTGAGCCCAACGTTGGGCTCATCAAGTCCTACCATCGACCCAGGACTGAAAGTGTTCTTCTGCTGACCATGTCAGCAGCCTGTGTGACCCCGTGGCCACTCTGTCTACATGTGTGATCAACTCTAGGACAATTCTGGTAGTTTTTAATTGTTTTTTCTTCCTTTTTCAGAAAACATCAACCTTTTCTGGATAATCTACTTGCTTCCACTCATTATTTTACAAGGTAAGTTCCGGCCCTGATGCCCAGAACTTCATGGCAGTGAAGAACCATCCCTGGGACACTTTGTGTGCTGGATTTTAGTTCTTCCTTTTTGGGAGGGCTCTTCCCAAAGCTGCTGTGGAGTCACCATGTATGTTGTCCTTGTCTTTCAGCCCATCTCCAGAGGCAGAAAGGTAAGTGTGGGTGGTTGGGGTTGAGTGTCATAACCTGTCCAAGGTGCAAGACCATCCGTGGAGACTTGGCTGTGCCAGGAGGTCCCTGTTCTGGGTCCTGTGCTTGTCCTTCTGGCCCAGGGTGCATTCATTAGGGGCTGGTGGGATGATCCTGTGGCCCAAGTGCCCCATGGAGACCTCCTGCCAGTGCCTGAACCTCCACATGGGACCATGTGCTCATTGGCTTGGGCTTCAGTGCCCCATTGGTGGGGGGGCTTTGGAGTCTTCCTTTTTTGGGGGACTCTTCCCAAAGCTGCTGTGGAGTCACCATTCCTGGTGTCCTTGTCTTTCAGCCCATCTTGAGAAGCAGATTGGTAAGTGCTGGTGCTCGGGGTTGGGTGTCCTTGCCTGTTCCATGGGGGAACCTCATCAGTGGAGAACTGATTGGTCCAGGGTGGTTTCCTGTTCTGGGGTCCTTGGCTGGTCTTCTGGCTACTCCAGGGGGTGGGACTGGATGGTCTTTAGATCATGGA